AGAAGCTGTTCCTCAGGCTAGTGGTTCTACACTTAAGGCTCCTTAGCTTCCTTCCTGAGGGGAGCGGCGCAAAAAGTGTGTGTGCTGGGTGAGTGGGGTCCTTCATGACGCAAGTGGCTCTCTTCCTGCATCTGGAGTTGCAGATGTCTGTGATGGTGGAGAGGCTGACTCCAACAGACTTCTGTGCAACCTTCACCAAACTCTGCAAAGCTTTTCTTCCTGCAGCTGTGCAGCCTCCATGCCACACATGGATACTGTGGCACAGGATGCTCTCCACTGCACACCTGTAAAAGGAGGTGAGGAATGAGCTTCCCAGTCCAGCTCGTCTCAGCCGCCTGAGGAAGTAGAGTCTCTGATGAGCTTTTTTGATCAGGCTGGTAGTGTTGTTGCCCCAGCTGAGGTTGTCATTCAGGTGCACACCCATGCACTTGTAGCTGGACACCACTTCCACCGCAGATTGTTTTGATGTGGGTCATGACTAGGGCATTAACAGAGTACTCGAGTAATTTACACATCGATTGCTAGGACATATATCGATGTTAAAAAAGTAAAGTCGGGTATCTATAGTGAAGTCATATTATGTGACCACGTATGACTGTAGGGGGCGGTGTTGCACTGTTGCAGGTCACAGAGTGTGGCGTAACACCGGATCCAATCCACCAGAACCAGTTTCGGTTTAAGTTTTGTTTTTGACGTGCTGCGTTTCTTCACATTTGCAGTTTAATAATAATAACTAATAGTTTAGTTTTTCCTGTGACTTATTTGCAGTATGATAAATGGTAGGAGAATAATATACGCTCCCAATGTTTTGTTGGTCTTTTTTTTTTGTAAATAATTACCTTTTTTTGCGGTTTAATTTATTTATTTATTTTTGTATCTTGAGATCTATGACGTCATCAAATACTCGAGTTCTACTCGGGTTTTATTATGGTAATGTCGAGTTTAAAAATTATTTACTCGTTCAACCCCTAGTCATGACCTGTTTTTCAAAGAATTTAGCGACTATCAGGATGAGGGCTACTGACCGGTAGTCATTCAGACCAGTCACTGTAGAGCTCTTTGGGACTGGGATGATAGTGGCGGTCTTCAAGTAGGTGGGAGCTGTTGCCAGGGTAAGTGAGGAGTTAAAGATGTCGGACAGCACCTCACAGAGCTGATCCGCACATTCTTTCTACACTTTCCCGGGGATGTTGTTTGGGCCGTTTGCTTTGTGAGGGTTAATCCTCCTGAAAGTACTCCTCACTTTGGCTGAGGTCACACTGAGAAGCTTTTCTTCCAGTTGTGAGGTGAATTTGGTGCTGGGTTGTCTGTTCGTGTCTTCAAAGCATGCGTAGAACTTGTTGAGGGCATCAGGCAGTGATGGGTCTTTAGGACATTGTTCACTCCTGCATTTATAATCTGTTATACACATAATGCCCCTCCACATGCTCTGTGGATCTTGCGAAGTAAATTGACCTTGGATCCTCTGTGCATATGTGGCCTTGACCCTCTTAATACCAGACACCAGCTCTTCCCTTGTCCTTCTCAGCTACTGTGAGTTTCCAGACCTGTTCCTGATTTCCAGCATGGTGCGCACCTCTGCATTCAGCCAAGGTTTTCTGTTCGGGTAACTCTTAACATATCTGATGGTGGTGACTTCATCAGCACATTTACTAATGTACTCCAGAACTGAGGATGTGTATTGCTCCAGGTCTAGCGCTTCCTCATTTTCATCAGCTTCTCTGAAGACCTGCCAGTCTGCACATCTGAAACAATCTTTCAGTATGGAGTCACTATTTTTCATCCAAGATTTAACTTTCTTTTGTATTGGTCTTCAGTGTCTCAGTGGGGGATGGTAAGCAGGAGCCAGGAAGATTGAGATGTGATCAGAGAATCCTAGGTGGGGGCGGGGTTTGGCTTTGTATGCATCTTTTACGTTAGTGTAAACATGGTTCAGCATGTTGTTTCCACGTGTTGGAATTGCCACATACTAGTAAAATCTTGGGAGGCAATCTTTTAGATTCACATGATTAAAGTCTCCAGATACCACATAAAGAGCCTCAGCGTGTTTGCTCTGCATTGAGCTGAAAAGATCATGAAGCTCCAGCAGAGCGTCAGTAGCATTAGCATCTGGAGCTATGTATACAGCTGTTAAGAACTTGACTATGAACTCGCAGGGTAGATAATGTGGTTGACATTTCACTGTTAGCTGTTCCAAAGCCTTGGCGCAATGACAGTTTATCAGCATACAGTTTCAGTACAGTTTCCTGAATGATTTGAGACAAAACAGTGTCAGCAAAGGTCATAGAAAAAGTTTACAAGACAGTTGGGAGACCAGCTATATTGTATGGGCTGGAGTCAGAGACATGGACAAAAAGACAGGAGAAAGAACTAGAAGTAGCAGAAATGAAGATGTTGAGGGATAAGATTAGGAATGAGATCATCAGAGGTACAGCACAGGTTGAACAACTGGCAGATAAAGTTAGAGTCCAGACTGAGATGGTTTGGACATGTCCAGAGGAGGGAAAGTGGGTATATTGGTGGAAGAATGTTAGAAATGTAGATGCCAGGAAAAAGACAAAGAGGAAGGCCAAAGAGGAGATACATATAGTATATGGAGGCAGTTAGAGAGGACATGTGTGGTGATATTGCCCCTAGTGGTGTGTCTCTGTCCTGTTTCTGTTCTGTTTCCTCTCATGTGATTTCCCTTTTCCCACACCTGTGAGCCTGACAGGTGTTTTGTGTTTTGTCCTCATCAGTGTTTGTATATAAGTCTGTGTCTTAGTGTTATTCCTGGTCTGGGCATCGTCTTGTATTCGTCTTGTACTCTCCTGGTAATCCTCCTGAGTCCCTAGTGTTTTCCTGAGTGCCTCCTCGTGATTTTTCTATATGTAAGTTTTTGCTGCCTCGACAGCTGTTTATTTTTGTGTTATTAAAGTGTCTTCTTATTTTTACCACCGAGTCGACTGAGTCCTGCCTGCATCCTTGTGTTCTACTTTAAAAGACCAGCAAACACGACAACATGGAGATAGAGTGAGAACAGAGGGTACAGAGAACCAATGGACGAGGACTCTGTGGAGACCCTGAAGAGGGAACAGCTGGAAGAAGAAGAGTTTAACAAATGGACAGTGCAGCACTCATCTGATGGGAAGTGTGAGATTGTTCCTTAATGTTGGAGCAACAACACAAAAAGCAGAAGATGGTTGCTGATTGGTTGTGTCTGTGAAGGTTAGGATCTGGATGATCATGTTTTTTTTTTTACTCGCAACATTGGAGTCCAGTGATTTTTAACAATCCTCTAAAGGCAACTTTCCATTTTTTCTGCCAATATATACCCATATCTCAACACACCATTTTGGACTTGACATTCTGTTCAACGTGACAGGTCACATATGTTTATGGCAGAATATATACAGCAACATTCATCTTGTTTTTGTTGTATGTTGAAATCTAATTCTGTCAGACTTATTGCACAACACTGGAGGTTCTGAGGTTGCTGGATCAGAGGCCCTAGTTAGGAAAACTTTAATAATCCATCACCATCTAGTGGGCAACATCAACAATTACAGAACGTTTCTGTTGCCTCAGCAAGAGGGTCACAGGATCCTCTCATGGCCTGGGACCTTTCTGGATGGAGTTTGCATGTTCACTCTGTGCTGAGCGGGTTTTCTCCAGGTATTCCAGTTTCCTCCCACAGACTAAAACATGCATGTTAGACTGATTAATAACTTTGAATTGTGCCTAGGTGTGAGAGAGAGTTTCTTTTGTCTCTTTGTGTCCCTGAATGAAAACCTGTCCAGGTGCCTCTGTGATGGACTAGAGACCTGTCCAGGTGCCTCTGTGATTGACTGGAGACCTGTCCAGGTGTCTCTGTGATGGACTGGAGACCTGTCCAGGTGTCTCTGTGATGGACTGGAGACCTGTCCAGGTGTCCCGCGCCCCTCTCACAGTGACAGCTCGTTTCAGAAAGAAGAGGTCAAGAAAATGGATTGATGGAAACATTAAAATTAACTGTTCAATTCATTTATGACTTTATTTTGTCTCACTGTCAATAAAAGCAGTCAGTCACAAGTGTCTGTGTCAGTCTGTTAGCAAAATATCATACAAATCAATGGATGAATTCTACAACTGATTAAATTTTGGAGTCAACCTCATTCAAGATGGCCACCACAATGTGCTGATTATAGCTAACACACCAAATGGCTATAATGTCAGAGATGTTGAGACTACATTTAGTGTGGTAGTAGCTAAGAGTCATCTCTAACTCATATTTGAAGCATTAACAGATTGCATTGGGTATGAAGTCTGGCCAAACAATAATGTCTGAAATTTTTACTGTAAAACCAAAAAAGTGAAGAAATTTTGACTAATTTAGTTTTCATTTTTTATTAGTTTACACTGTTTTAATATTTTCTTCTGTATTAATTCAAGAATCAAGCAGACATCAGGGTATTTTTGTATGACAAAGAACTTTATTAATATTTTAGAAATGGTACATTATGGTACATTACAGTAAACATCGTGTAGGGACAGAACTGTGCAAACAAACAGGTTTGTGTTGGATGTTTTTGGTTCTTATGGCAGGTTTTAAACTCTTTACTGTAAGGAAAGTTCTCTGTTTATATCCTTTTATCTACACCAGTTACAAAATATATTAGAGTAAAGAAGCTCAGCTGCAATGCCTGCAAATGTGAGGTTTAAAATTCAAGTTTTATTGCTTTTTCGCTCAAAAATGATTGCAGGTATTTAAATAAACACTTTCTTAAAGCACAAAAGGAATGATTTGGCAGCTATAGATTATTGGCTTAGTGAAGATATCAGGGAATGAATTTGTTAATTTTCAGTTTGGACTCTGAGCCTTCAAGGGTGGAAACAGACAACAGTTTTCATCATTGTTTGACTGTAACGTTACCCTCTTCTCTCAACTGGGAGCAGACAGGAGGTTTCTGAGTGCCTATAGTCCACAGGATGCAGCAGTTATGGATTTATTTAAACCAACCCACAGCAAGAACAGTTGTTTTGTAAAAGATAAGCAGAAATTAATCATATAAATGATGGCTGAATGACCAGGAACTGTGCTGTGGTTTTCCCTGTTTGACCCTGCAGCAGAGGTGGCCTCAGGAGAGTGGGGGAGGGGGTCTTAGAACCAGGATGAAGCTCCGTGTTCTCTGTGGTTTATTTGGCAGTGACGAGTGCTGGCATGGCAGTGTTGATGTCGGGTCCTGCTGCCCCCTCCTCATCTGAGTCACCCTCAGCGCTGTCGCTCTCCTCTGAGTAGTTGTCGGCAGCCCCGTGCGTGGCCGTTGCCTCCTCGCTGCTCTGGCTCTCCTCGTCGTCGGACTCGGCACTGGCGCTGGTGGTGCTGGCACTCTCCTCCTCCTCTTCCTCTGGGGTGCTGCTGCTCTCGCTCTCAGTGGTGGCACTCTCCTCTTGTGGGAGGGAGACCTGGCGGGGGCTGATCTCCTGGTCCTGAGATGTTCCCGAGGAGACGTCAAGGCCCTGACTCTCCACCTCTGGGGTGCTGGTGTCCTCCTCCAGGACGTCAGACTGGATCTGGAAAGCCTGACAATCAGAGAAGTGTTTTTTTGTTTGTTTTTTTACCCCAAAATAGGAATTAACTAAACAAATACAAACCAGTCATTTTTTAACCGAATATCTTTGAAGGACAAATAAAGTTTCAAAAAAGGCAAAGATCACTGTGGCCCATCAGGATCATAGTTCACAACATTGTTGATACAGGAAATAGTCTCCACTTGGATGCTCCTAGCTATACTCCAAGGCAACATCTTTGCCACCAGTTTTGGTCAAAAATAAAAAATATTACATATTTATCTATACATAAAATATTCTCATTGGTAGCCCACTCATCTCTAAATGACCTGTGACCTTTGACGTTCTGATCTCATTGGTTCAACCGCTGGTCTAGTCAAGTATTAATTCCAGCTAAGAATGTTATTTTGTTCCTGCCACCTAGTGGTGCAGCTGGAGTATTTGATTAGTTTTGTAATTGTCTGGACTTAGATTGATTTTATAGTTATGCGTTTATAAAAATATCTGAAATAATGTAGGAGTGGTCAAAATATGATCCAAAAGGCCTCTTTCAAAGGTTAAGTTTCAAAACAAGACTGACCTGTACCTTGTACACCTTTGGTAACTTCTCCACCTCGTTGTCCACAGTCATGTCGTAGCCAGTCTTCTTTCCTGCGCTGACAACCTCGTAGGACTTGTAGGAAACAGGGAGCTTGTGGTAGGATTTCTCTTCCACATACATGATGGATTTGTAGTCGCTGGGGTATCCTCCCAAACTGTCACCGCGACCTGTGTCGGTGTCGGTGACGATGGTAGGTAAGATGGTATCCATGGTGGTTACAGGTAGGGGCTCCACGGTGACAATGGTGGGGCTGAGGGTGCTGGGTGCGAGGGTGGAGGACTCGCCCGACTCAGAGTCCGAGCTGTCGTTGGATTCATCTTCATCTGTTTCCTGTAAAAACAGGAGCAAAAGCTGCTTGAAACTGTGATCTGAAAGGACATTTTTGTCTGTACTGACACAAGTTCCTGTTTTAAATATATTAATAATAATAATAACAATAATCACTTAATATAAAGAGCTTCTTGGGAAAATAGTTTATTTCTGATAGATTTAAAAAGCTAACAACTTGTCGAAAAGTTCCCCTCAGGTGCTGTCAGACTAATCATTAGCTCCTCAGTCCTGTCATGAAAAAAAAAAAATACATATAATGAGGTTGTTCAAAACTTTCCAACATAAACCCACATCAAAAGATCAACCTATCACTGTGAGATTTTAAAGTTAGTAAGCTTTAGAGGCTTTTAGATTTCCTTAGGTAAAAATACCAAAATGGAAATTAAAATGTACTTCAACTTTCAGTATTTTGAGGAAAAAAACAAAAATTAAAAATAAAACTATATAAACTAAACCCTGAGATTTGCAGGATGAAAGTGTCACATTTGTTTTTAAAATGCTAAAAAATGTTCCCTCTACCAACTCAAACTGTTAAAACAGCCCCAGTCCATAAAGTCACCATTTCTTGCAAATTGTATTATTTAAATCTTTATGCTCCCCATAGCACCGACCTCTGTCTACTATATGTTATTGCTTTAGGAAAATTGTAAACATATTGATGAAAATGCTAACTGTATTAGTACTTTGTGACAAGTTTTAGCTAGTTTCTCATCAGTACATTTGACTCACACTCTCCTCGCCTTCATCATCATTGTCATCATCATCATCGCTGTCCTCTGTGTTGACAGGAGGAGACTCTGTCAGTGGATCTGGATCTGCACTAACAGCTTTGAACTTTACTGGATCTTTAACTGGTGCCACCCCCTGCACAAACCAGAACAAGTGAAGTTAGAAAATGCTCCTCTGAGTTGCCGCCTGTAGATATTTCAGTGTTTTGAGTTTCCCACCTGGTCTTCCTCTGAGGTCTCTGTGCTCTCATCTGATCCTGCTGCAGGTGCTGCTACAACTTTCTGTGCAATCAGAAATGCAGAACCTTAAAGTTGTGTGTTAAAAAGAACAAATAAAACACAAAAGTAGAAAAATTTTACCTGCACAGGTGATGGTCGAAACTTTGGAGCCACTAGCGTCTGTTTCCTGACAGCTGGAGCTGCTGGTCGTCTCACCTGTGGAAATAAAAACAACCACCATAGACCTCATCTCTCTTTTTTTGCCAACAAACCTTGCCTCCATCCCATAAGGCTCTCTGAAAACTTACCACCTCCTCCGAGCTGTCAGAACTGCTGTCGGGAATTTTCTTTGCCTAAAAAATGAGACAAAAAATGTCTATAAAATATAACAAAATTAAAAATCACCCATCACTTTGGATGTCAAAGTTGCAAAGAAAAAAATTGCCATGATCCATTAGAGATTCGAGTATGTGTTGTGGATGACTCTCAGCTACTACCACGACTACCGTATTTTCTGGCATTTAAGTCACAGGTATTTTTCATAGCTTTGTAAATCTTGCAACTTATTACACCGAAGTGACTTTTCCCCCATATTCTTAATGCAATTTTTGACTGACGCTTTAAATTTCGAAGAACTACAACAGCAAGTCCTCCCGTGCCTGCTCGCTTCAGTCAGCTGGTGCAGGTGGAGGAAAGCTGGAGAGCTAGCGTCTGGATGGATGGATGGATGGATGGATGGATGGATGGATGGATGGATGGATGGATGGATGGATGGATGGATGGAGGGATGGATGGATGGATGGATGGATGGATGGATGGATGGATGGATGGACGGATGGATGT